GCAATTGAATGCATCCAAGAGGTTGGGAAATGGAAAATACAGGCAACCCGTCACTAGGAATCTCTGTAGCAGAACGGTATATCCCTCTTTTTTCTCTAAAACATATACCAAGATACGGCAGAATACACGGCAGCATACGCGGTAGGTGGTAGAGAAGTAATGAATAAAAACTAGTCGCCAGAGACGCAGAAAATGATGATAGAATATGGATAGAACTCCGACTAATCCTTGCTTGTGTTTAAGACGACATGACAAAACTACTGGGTAGGAGCAGGAATCTTTTGACAGGACATAAATGGAACGGTTACTGCAAAACAACGATTGAAGAAAGTGAGAGAGAAGTGTAAAGTTTGGTGTTTTGGACAGAGATTTCAAGCCTTGTTGGAGTACATGTCGAGCAGATTCAGTATGTCTCAGATGCCGGATAGTTTTGTTTCTGTGTTTGTCGTTCATGTTTTACCAGTGATTGCGGGGGATCAGAAGCGAACTTTTTCGCAGGAGTCATGATGTCGTGTATACTGTAATTACATAGACGAAACTACACTCGTGAAATATATAAAGTCCGACCTGGAACAGCTAAGGGAGGAATAAGAAGCTAGAGGCACGAGGGAGAGTGATGGTGACGACACTCGACCGAATGATGCATGGCTGAGTTGCTTTTGAGTGCATGATTTAGTTGTTCCGAATGTGCAGGAGCTGCGAGACGGTATCCTCGGGGGACGGTCGTTAATGACAGCGACTGAGCGAGTAAAAGGGACATATGGGGTGTCAAAAGTGACGTTGGGTTGGGGGGCTAGTGTCTGCTAAACCAGGAAAGTAGATTTTTTCCTGCTACACGCATGGGTGGCGGTATTAGAATAGTGTCAAGCTCCCACTGGAAGCAAGATCACGATGTGAACACTCATCTACTCATTTTCCAGAGGCAAATTGGAGGCGCTGGTAGGACCAATACAGTGCCCTTTGAAGGTTTCAGTAGCTTGGATGGCGTTGGTGAATCTTTAGGGCGTGACGGTAAAGAAGTTAAAGCGGCGCGGGGTGAGGTACAGTATGTGGGGATGTGGGGGCGTTTCTTTGACCTTTTTTGTTCACATTGCACTGTGCCCGCTGTGCCCTTTTATGCGTTGCAGCTTTCGTGCACACTCTAGGTAGGCGTGGAACAAAGGGATGAGGGAAAAAGGAGGGCCTTTGCAGCGGTTTCCTGGATTCCTTGTGGACAGAGAGAGACGGGGAGGTGAGAAATGGAAATGGAGTTTTTGTACGTTGAGTGGGTAGGGTATTGGTTTCAACGGGTGTGCCGTTGCTGCAAGTAAGACTGCTCTTGAGAGCAGGCTCTCTACCTGCAAATGAGACATGGGTGGTGCATGAATTCGGAAAAAGTAAAGTAGAAGGGGCGACTGTACGGTAGTTGGCAAGATGCTAGCGTTTCTCCCTCACGCTCAGGCACTCTCCTTGCTGTTTCTACTATGGTGGCAAAAAGGAGCATGAATGGGTCGGGGGGCATGAGGGCGGCAGCGGAGATTCGGCCCGGGATATACGCCCAAAGGGACGCCATCGTCATGCCCCCCCGACGCATTTGTGCTCCTTTTTGCCACTTTAGTAGAAACAGCTAGGAGAGTGCCCGAGCGTGAGGGGGAAACGCTAGCAACTTGCCAACTACCGTACAGGATGGCGTATCTCCTGGGGCGAATCTCCGTTGCCGCTCTCCCGTTGGTGGTGTAGCAGAGTTTGTGCAAAAGGGGGTGGGGTAAATACAGGAAGGTTGTCTATAAAATAACGCGTTGTTTTTTTTCCATTTGTCCACAAACTCGCTGGACATAAAGTAAACCCGAGATTAATTTAATCAATTCCATCACGAGTTTTTGCAGACTGACCTCCAGCAACGTACCTGCTGTACCGTACATCGTTGTGCCGCCCGACGGATCACGTGCACCCGCGTGAATATTCGGTGAAGCGAATATTGTAGCTCGCCACAAGGATAGAAAGGTTGTCAGTCGAAAGGGCGGTGTGTTTCGTCTTCTTGATAGCCTGAGGGGGGGCCGTTTTGGGGAGGACCGGGGTTTTAGAAGCTTCTATCTTTCGCGGTTCCTTCGGCGGCATCTGTGGCAGATTCTGTCGCGCTTTCATCCATTGATGGACTCTGGGCAGATGAAGCGATAGGGGCGTCCATGACGCATATCGATACGACGCGTGCAGTCTGAGACTCGTTTGTGGTGATGAAAAGAACGGAAGACGCAGCTCGTTTTCCTTCCTTCAAGACGGGTCGAACCGGCACTGCTGTGATGAGGCGGATGTGAAACTCGCGGAAAACTCACATGCCCCCAGTTTTCGGTATGGTATGAGTTTTGCCATACGCGTTGTTTGAAAAAAATCCGAGCAAACTCGCCCCCACGCGTTTTCGTGACTTTACGGACAACCTTACTAATATGTGGTTATTGGTGAAATGGTGTTTGTGTTGTTCATGGCTGACACTCTTTGCAAATGCAGTGGCCATTCTACCCTTGGGTAGATGCGGTACACCATGTTCCATACCACGTTTGTCTTAACTGTCCGGGCTGAGGATTGAGGTAGTACTAGTGGTAGTAGTAGTACGCAGGCACTGTAATGTAGTAGTAATACTCTGTAGAAACGCTTGCGTCCCCCGGCAGTGGGGGAGGGGGGGCATGTGCAAAACGGTTACACGCGTGGCGTGGGGAAGAGGGGCGCGCGCTCGGGCA